TGGTCAGTTTATACTGTGTTTAAATGTGCTTTATAAATTAAATTTACTTACTTACTTACTTACTAAATTAAGAAAAAAAAGAATCTTGGCACTAACTAAATACTTTTGCCTGCCAACATGGCCACACCAATACCATTTGTTTTGTGCTGCTTGGACTTCCACATATCAGGACTGTTTTACGTATGACATGATGGATGGAACTGATACCTACAGCAGGGTGAAATAACTATTAGTGTGTTTAAAAATACTCTTTGACCTAGATGTGATAGCTCCAAGAAAGCATGACCCACCACCACACAACCTTCTATAGAAAATAAATCAGCGCTCTGGTCTAATAATTAGTGCACACAAAATAATAAAAGAAGAAATTAAAGGACTCTTATTATTCAGTTTTTTAAATTGGCTCTGGATAAAAATGATTTTCCCCACAAATTAATTGTATTCATTTAAAAGAGTAGTTATTCAGTGGATCAATCACAATGCCAGAGCCTGAATGGCACATAATGCCGTGTCCTCTAATTAAAATTAGCCAAACCTGCAAGGTGCAGGCTTTCCCAGTTCAAATGCAGCAAATCTGTCTGATTAGGAGAGACTTAGCAACTGTTTATTGAGCAGAGCCAATTAAAGTCTGTTTGTTTGTTGGTGGGTACCATTTAATTCTGTTACTTCTTTTACAGTTGTGTGTCTTTTTTTTTTTTTTTGAATTCTAGCAAGAATCGTGTCATCAAGTGCCTCAAATCGACATATGTTTATGTTGACCTGACAAACCTCTCTACCAGCCAGAATTATGATGGGAGCAAAGGAAGAAGTTCGGTGACGTTGTTATGTAGCATAGGGAAGACATTGTGGTTGATGAATGGGTGAAAAAAAATGTACTGTAACATGGGAAACCGTTTTTTTATTGTCCCATGTTTATCATTATAATCATGATGAAGGTTCCCTAACCATAACAAAGTACTTATTTTAACCCAAACCATAACCAGCACATTGTCACTTCATTAAACTGATTTATTTTTAAACAGTGATTGTTGCAATCAAATCATTGGCTGATAGGGGGGTCAGGTCTCTCGAGCATGTGTCTCTTAAATGAGGTTATTATAATCTGTTTTAAATGAGATTATTATAATCTCATCTGGATATAAAGGTCACATTGGCACAGAGAATGTTGACTCAAGATGCCAGAGCTGAGAGACCACACACTGGGCAAAAGAGTGCGTGGAGCAGCTAGATAAAAACCTTGTGCTGTATTTCCATATCATCTCTTAAAAGCAATCACTTTCCTTTCCTTTGATGATCATGCATTCTTATATAATTCAAGGTGTCAAATCAAGTTCAAGTTGACTGAATTAAGTTCTAAGTCATGAATCTATACATGTATGCTGCAACAATTACTTGATTAATTGATTAGATAATAGTAAATGAATCAACAACAACTCTGACAGTTGATCAGTTGTGAATTCATTTATTTAAGGGAAAACACGTTCTGTTCATATTCTCTTGTATATGTGACTGTGGATGAATGTTTTTGACTTTTGGACTGTTGGTCAGATAAAACGAGTCATTTGTTAAAAAAAAAAAAAAAAAAGTCATTTTGAATTCTAACATATTTTTAATGGTACTTTCTATTCTATTTCTCTCTACTTTCTATTCCATTTTATTCCTCTTTTAAACAATTACATGAAAATTTAATTCTAGACTGTATACTGTACTGTACATTTAGTATGTGTGTTGGATACTGAAAATGACCTGACGTCCACTGTCTAATGTTTGATTGAAATGTGGGGGAAAAAATAAAGGTGATTCAGGAAATTGCAAACAGTAATTCCCTTCATTCATTTATCTAGACCTCACACTTGATAAACACTCACAGCAATCTAAAACATCCTGTCAACAGATAAAGACACTGAACACTAAATTACTTCAATATGCAATTAAACTGCATCTGTCACTTCTGTCTATAGAATATAAACACAAATTAGAGACGATCTTGACAGCCTGAGATTCCCACAACATACATTTGGCAGCCACCACCAAAATAATCCATAATATTTCTCTACATTTGATAAATAATGGTAATTCCGCCTTTCACAAATAAAGATTTTAATGATTTGACAAAGATAATTACATGGCACGTCTCTGGTGAGAACAAGTTATGTGCAAAATGGGAACAGAAATATGCAGGTACGAGGTGATAGAAAGCTTTATTTAACATCATGCAAACACAGCTTTGTTTTACTGCTAATAGAGGTGGACTAAAAGAAGATACCAACATGTTAAAAGCTGAATGTACTTAATGTATCAAAATTAAATAAGTACTCATTATGCAATAGAAGGGACTAACTGATGGGGACTTATTAAGAAAGAAGCCTTTTCAGGGTGTAGCAAGCGGTGTAAACTACTATTCTGCTACTACTACTGTGCTTTGCTGTTTTAATCTCTAACATTTCATTAGATTGTATAAACTGATTTTATGTTTTGTATGAAAAACCTGAATCTGCAACTGGTAACTATACCTGTGAAATAAATGTAGTGTGTGATGATGTCTGACATGGTATTGTGCTCTCTATCCCACTGTGAGGTTATCTACAAACCTAAAGGAGGTCACAGGTCACAGCTTGTACCTCTTCTTAGGCAATAAGTTAAACTCTGTGCCTCCTCTCTGACTGTTTGACTGACTAGGCTAGAACAGCTGATAAGTTTGAACACTGAGCACCCAACATATCGTAGTTCCCCTTTGTTACAGAAGACCAAGGTTGAGAAATAAATCTAACAGACAGACTGACTGTCTCCTACTTACAATGCGCTGTACGTGACTATGTGTGTCATTCGACGTGATTTAGGGTAGCTCAGGTAGGCATAGTTCCTTATTTTGAACCACTATCCAATTGGATCTTCACACACATTTAGTTGGGTAAGTTATGACCATATTTGGGACACTAGTAGATCTTGTGGGTTTAGGTCTGTGTTAAATATCGCCTGTCAGGAAGTAACCTTCAGAACTGGGTTGGCATCTACACAGTGACTCCATTTGTACAGCTTATCTCTATTCTTCTCGATCGAGCTTCAATAAATACTACTGTGCAAGTCATCAAGGTCTTCAATTACGAGCGAAACATCTATCACAAAAATTCCTTCACAGAGCGAAGTATTTTCCTCTGAAATTATGAGAAGTAGAAGTAAAAAAGTACCATGAAATTGTACTTTAATATAACACAGTAATTGGGGCGCCCTGTACAAATGCTTTCATACATATATGTATATATATTGCAGTATTAACATTTACTGCTACATGTTACTGCTCATGGTAACAGGGGGTTTGATCATTTTACTATATATCAGTTAATTTTATCACCTGTCTTTACTTAAATGTAGCCAAAATATGTAATATATGTATACACAGGTCAGACTTCTGCAAAATGCTTTCTGCATTTCTGTAATGCATTTTCAGTTTTTTACCATGTTTCCACACATGGCTGGAAGTAGTTTTTTGCTAAATCATCCAAAGCTGAATAAACTGCAGTAAAAGCCTTAAAATTTTGTTTAAATGTAGTAGCTCTACTGTATTTGAAATATGCTCCAGTTTCATACTGTGATGAAAACTCATAAGAAAGGGTGCTTGTCAACAAAATGTTACCACTTTAAGGTTTCTGTCCAGTAACGTGTCCAGATTGAAAGCACTGTACTGCTTCTAGAGCAATAAGAGAGATGTTGATTTGTGAAGCTAACCAAGAACACATCATATGTAACTGCTATTGATCCAGTCAATGAGTGAAATCATGCTACTCCAACACACCAGCAGCCCTTTAACTGCTCATTCGGTTCGCTTTCTTTTGTTTAACCACAACAAAAGCGCAGAGAGAAGCCCATACTGGACTCCTGTGAAATGCGGATACTAATAGAAAAAGGATAATTCAAGCAGTTTGTACGGGGGCCCTGAGGCAGTCTTTGTTCTGCATTGTTGGAAAAGAGACACTGGTGAGGAGAAGTGCAAGAGTGAATAATGAAAAGTCTAGTATCTAACGTCTGTATAAATGAACCACAAAGAGTTTGTAACTGAAAAAATGTGTTAGAGTCACCAACCAAACAACCTTTCTATTAGTATAAGTATGCATGGTACCTTCTTTAATTACTTTCCAGCTATTAAATGTTTATAATTCAAACAATTTTCTTACTTAATAGAAGTATAATAACAATTGATGTTGCCAGTTGGGAAATACAACTACAAAGCTTTTAACAATTGTGTCTCCATTCAACTGCATATGATTTCATTAGTGTAGTCTTTACAACTACTACTACTTTTCAACCTTGAGTTTAAGCCCTGACATATGCAAACAGCATGGGTATCTTTAATATATCGCATTACACACAGATTTTTAGATACATTTTTAGCCATGCCCCGTCTGATTACATTGGTCTAGGTTATTACACTACATTAATGAATGCCAGTATGTGAAAAATACCAGTATATGATGGTGTGTGTGAGTCTGTGTTTCTGCAGGTGCACATGCCTTTTTCCTACAGTATGTGTTTCTAATGAAGTGCCAAATGTAATGAGATAAATCTATCCATTAGGGTTCCTTAACGAGACTAAATCCACATGGCTGCTAATGAGTCGGTACTCCATCAGTTGTCCTCAGAGAGCTGGAGGACCTGACTACCCGACCCGGAGCCAGACAGAATCAGACCCTCTAAGCCACTAAATCCACAGCTCCAGCTGTTGTAGACCTCCATCATTTAGCTACTGGCCCTTCAGGGAGTGACTTCAGGTTAGCAAGCAGCTACAACCGATAGAAACTAGAGTCACAGGGAAACACTAATCATCTGTAATCATTGATATGCCATTACTGGGCCATACTCATTTGCCTGATGGAACAATGCTCTGAAGACTTCTGTTGTTACTGGGCTATTATTAGCTTTTCAGCTACTGCTGCGCTGAACATGTGTTCTGTACACAGGCACTACATGCTGTGCA